ACATTTCCTGAGCTACGCATAAGATCCACAGATCCATATTTAGCATTTAGACTATATACGAACTCTAAAAGGCACAAGTGTACACTATTATCATCTGTAGTAATTTAATTTGGAAATTACAATTTCACCACTAGGTTGCTTGAGCAATCCGTGCCTGAACGGTGGAACCTGCAACGATGATAATGCACCTTTTGTGTGCGAATGTCCTGATGGGTTTTCTGGAACTTCTTGTCAAATAAACGACGGTAATTGTTGATAAGTATTCGTTTTTTGTTGTGGCTTTTTTAACCACCAATATACCGATACACTTATTTTTATGTGTTATGTTTTTCTAGTTGTAAGGTAATTGTTATTGTTGTGGAACTTTTGTAAGATCTATGCGGATATCATAGGCCTATCAGCCGTTGAATATAGAAATAGGCCTACTCTATTAAATAAAATAACCAACTGGATTAAAGCCGAACCACCAATTTCTGACCGAGCACAATTCTAATAAGTTACAGTTTTGTTTTTCTTTCAGAACCGGTACCTTGTAATTTGCCTACACAGGATCCTGTCGTCGTTGGTGCCAATTCTATTAACCTGCAAGGTAAATAAATATTAACATTAAGAATATTGAACATAGGAGATGAAATTTGTTGAGGAAAAATTTCACATTTTATCGAAAACGGTGTTAAAAACAAGCCGGTTTCCATAAAACCGCTACTCTGTCGCTACAGTGTTTTCACTTCAATCGTGACACTGCGTAGTTGTCCCCGCCCAATCAGGAAAGGTCCCAATTCTGAAAGTCAGGCTCCGGAGGAAAAAAAATTGTTTGATTTGTTGTAGAACTGATTTTTCTAAGACAAAAAAAAGTTGTTTGACGAAAAACTGGGGAACGGTAAATGAGATATAGATTTTTGAATATTTAAAAACTGGGGGAATAAGGTGTAAAAATGGGCAGTTACCCCCTTGTCCCCCAGTTTTTAAATATTAAAAAATCTGTATCTCATTCACCGTTCATTCACCGTTCTTCCGTAGCCTGACTTTAAGATGAAAAATGGCATAGTGATATTGTAACTAAAACGCTAAGGGATGCAAACCTATTTATAATTAGAGGTTCTTTCTCATTTTAAATTTTCAATCAAAGGAGAATATTAGGATATTTCATTATTTTACTAAATACAGTACTTGCATTGCGTAGGCCAATTATAGTTTGAACGCTAATATAGTATTCCTGCATTTTTTCAGATGCTTGTGGGAGTGGTCCTTGCGGAAAAGGGACTTGTTTTTCCATCATAGATCCACCACACTACCTATGCCAGTGTCAGGCACCCTATTACGGAAGCCAGTGCGATGTGTATGACGGTAATTTGTAAATCCTACTTACCTATTTCGTCTGTGTAATAAAGTTTTAATGTTGTATTTTAATACAGTAATAAACTGTAAACCGTCATTTTTGAGTGGTGGGTGACTTATATGCGTAAGCACGGTCATTCTCTACGTATTAATAATACTGTGATTGTAACTAATTGTACATACTGACTTTTCCCACACACACACAGAGGGTATACACATAAGGTATACGTGCAAATCTAACCCCCAGGCACTTTTTTTCATACAAAACTAACTGAAACGTACACACATAGTGGAGCTACGGATAAGCTAGAAAAGCATATTTGTCGCAGCATGGAAATCATAGTGTATAATATTCAAATGAGGTTTGCTGTGTAGCACTATAAACGCAAGATAAACTAATGGATAAATAATACCGATAGCGCAAATGCTTCTTCGGAAGTGTTTTAGTTTAAGTACCGTAGTTTAAGTCAAAATTATTTACTGTTTTTTTATCTCTTCTTTTTATAAAGCGCATTGAGGGTTTTTTTTAGGAATGTCCTATAAAAGTATGGAATTATTATTATTAATAACAGTACTCGAATAGGAACGGTATATATATATACTGTCTCTTATACACATCTAGATGTGTATAAGAGACAGCCCCCCCATCTATGAGCTATTTATTTTACACTAGGAACTACACATTTCCGAATTTTTTTATTGGACACTCCACTGCTAGAGCTACCAATGATTTGTATCAAGCTTTTTGTTAAGTGGTGTTCATAGCCTCTTGCACACAAACAAAATTTTCCGCAGAAAACATGTCATGAATTCCATGCTGATATTGATAATTTAAAAACAAAAATTTTGATATTTCTCTTATGTCTTTGTAAATGTCTCTTTATTTGTTTTTATAACCTGCGTGGCGACACGTCCTGGCTCATGTCCTGGTTCTTTATTGTGTCCTTCATTGCCTATCTTGTGCAATAAAGTGATTTTAAATTTATATTATTTTCGTAGGATGTCTCAATCATCCCTGTATGAATGGCGGTATATGTATCAATAATAAAGAGGAAGAAGTGTTTGAGTGTTTGTGTCCTGATGAGTACACAGGTACCGTTTGTAACCTGCAAAAATGTAAGTCCAGTAGTTAACACTATGGGGTTTTTTTTTTTGTTTTTTTGTTTTTTTTGGTTTTTTTTGTATACCTTAGTTATTTAGGCCTGATGTTACCATCAATGTTGAAGAGAGGCGGCCACGCAATATTTATATTCATTTAAGTACTCGTACCTAGGGCTGAAACATAGCGTCAGCCACTTCACAACTTGTCAATAGTTCAAGCTGGGGTAACTAAACTCGGCCGGCCAAGAATGGTGTGTGATTTCTCGACAGCGACATCACAACATGAATGGAAAGCGCTGCGTTAAACCACCTTCAGCTTAAATTAAGCGACAAGAAATATAAATATAGCGACAAATAAGGCGACAAGAAATATAAAAATAGCGATAAATATAGCATATATATATATACATATATATATATAATAAAATAAAGGTAAATGCAGTGTTTGAATATATATATATATATATAATATATATATATACACACATATATATACATGCATACACACATACATACATATATATACATATATATATATGTGTATATATATATATATATATATACATATTATATATTTAGATTTGCTGCTTAGCACCGCAAGCACAGTTGTAACAAATACATAAATAATTGTTATATTGTTATTATATATATACATGTTATAGGCCTATATATATATATATATATTTATTATATATATACATGTTATAGGCCTATATATATATATATATATATATATATATATTGAAATTTAGTTTTATTGTTACTATACTAGTTTCTATTATACTTTATAGATACAGGCGATGATTCGGATGTCGAGGACCAATTCGTGGTTGCATACGTCTTAGTTCCTATGATTCTATTTATAATAATCCTTGTTGTGGTTCTTCTGGCTATATTCATCATGTACCGACGTAGACGGCGTACTGAGGAAGTAACCAAGCCTTCATCTATATAGTTAAACGTATGTTATATCTGTAGGCCTACCCCTTTAACAGTGCACATCTGTATGCTGGTACAATTCCATTATATTAAGTCATCGTCACAATCGCCCCCACTGCCAGTATGTCAATATCACCGTCATCATCGTCGTCATTGTCATCATGATCAGCATTATCACCATTACCCTCCCTCTCACCTCACCCTCACCATACATATCATCATGACCATTCTATCTAATAGAGGCCTACTTTACCTGTGCATTCGATCAAATATACCTTACCGAATATTTGGTAGTTGCTCTGATCGTATTAAGCATCAGATCTTATTGTGTAAACTAACAAGTATTGTTCAAACTGTTGGTGCAATCTTATAGTTAAGACAATAAACTCACTTAGAGTTTGTTATAATAATGTGTTAGGTAAGCTTAGGAAATCTTAAGAGTTTTAGTACCAGTATTTGTATTTGCTGGGCTACCATCGTTTTATGAAGAAAATTTCTTTCTCAATTTCAATTACGTCTTTACGTCAATTACGTCTTAATAGTTCTCGACTTATGTTGATATCATATATTATCTTTAATCTTCTAAATCATCAATATTATATGCAAAAAAAAAAACAC